AGCTGAGGTTTGGGCAAGCGGCCCCCAGACCGAAGGACCAAGGACATATTCTTGCCCTGCTGGAGAGATGCGGGGGATGGTATACCTCGCCACAACCGTTAGCTTGCCAGGCAGTCTGCTCGACGGTCATGGCGTCTTTTGGGCACAAGACACGTCGGCCCAGACTGGTGCCGCTGACGGTTGGCTGAATGACGACCTCACGAACACTGAACGCTTCGTACGCTTTGTATATATATGCAACACATCAGAGTATCTCTCTCTCAACCTTCCCTTCTTTCTATGTTCAACACACACACATGCACATCTACTTCCTTTTACTTAACACGACTTCTGAATTTTACCTACGTCTTCAACTTGTTTACTAGAAACCTATCTATACTTAACACATCTGATGAGTTTCATGTCTTCCATTTGTATTCTTGTTTTCTACGGCATGTCTTCCATTTGTATTCTTGTTTTCTACGGCAGAGATTGTCTCAATCTCTGGGACATTCCCGATTTTGACAATGTTAGCATTAGGGAGATACCATAGTGTCCTAACATAATTCTGGGAACAAAGAGACCTCTTTAAAAAAAATTTTCATATGTATTTTTTATTTTGAGAGAGAGAAAGAGAGAGAGAGAGAGAATATGAATGGGGTAGAGGGATAGAGGGAGGGGAGAGGGAGAGAGAGAGAGAGAGAGGAAGAGAATGAATGGGGTAGACAGAGGTAGGGAGGGAGAGAATCCAAAACAGTCTCCATGCTCAGTGTGGAGCCCAACATGGGGCTCGATCCCACAGCCCTGGGATCATGACCTGAGCCAAAATCAAGAGTCTGACCCTCAACCCACTAGGCCACCCAGGTGCCCCTCATCCGTTCTTTTTTTTAATTCTTCAGACATGAGCACATGCTCTGCACGATGTGTTGAGGTAGTTTTACTGGAATGGATCAACCTCATCTCTCTCCACATCTCCCCTCCAATTCTCCACTGGAACGCCCCTGCAGGAAGGTGCTTTGGACCCTAGCATTTAGCATGTAGCAATCAACCGAAGCTGTCTCAGTATTTATTGAAAGGAATAATACCCCCTATGTGCCTGATACATAAAGAAAGAACATCAGGGAACTGGTTACAGTGGTTATTTCTGGAAAATTTTAGAGAGGGATTGAGACCCCCATTTGAACTTTCCCTGTGTGTGTATCATCTATACTATATAACACATCAGTTAAAAAAAACAAAAAGAAGAGTCAGATCTTTTATTGTCTTGAACATTTTTTCACATGTTATTTTCAGTGAGAAAGGTAAGCTGGAGGAGAAACAAAATATATAATCCTCATCTTAGAAGAAATTAGACTGAGAAAGAAATCCTACCTAGGGGTATGTTTTTGTAGGGGTGTGCGTTGACCCAAAGGATCAGAGCGGAGGTGGGAGAAGTTAAACACTGAGCGTCCCAACTTGCCGGCGAGATCCCTCCCATTTCCCCGCCCACCAAGCCCGGGACCCGCCCAATCCCCGCCCATCAGCCGAAGCCACGCCCCCAGCCCTGTCCGTCCGGCAAAGGCCCCACCTCTGCGTCCCCTCTCCAGGTCCAGTCCGACCCCATCCCAGAGCCTAACCTTCACCCCGCGGGGAAGGAAACCAGGACTTCTCCTCCGAGGCTGGATGAAAAAGGAGTCAACACGTCTCTCACTGCCTGAAGCACCTCCGGCCCCGAGAGCCGCAGCGCCGGCCACTTCCGCTCCTGGCGTCCGGAAGCGGAAGTGCGCGGCTGCGGCCGACTGCGGCGGGTGTGCTGGGCCGCGCGGCGCGCCGCGGTGGGAGTGTCTCCGGCCGGTCTGCAGGTGCGGCCCGGCCCCTCGGGGAGGCGGGGAGGGCCCTGCGGGCGCGGGGAGGGGCCGAAGGGCCCAGGACAGCAGCCCCGGCCGCAGTGCCTGCCCCCAGCGGTCGCCCCGGGGGCCCGGAGGGGGTCCCGCACAGCTCGGCCTCGCAGCCGTCGTCCCCGACCCCCCGGCTCGGGCCCCTTGCCCCGTGTCCCCGCGGGCGGGACTGTCGCCCCATCCACCGAAAGGGAAATCGCGGAGTACCGTCCAGGTCCCGCAGCTCAGGAAGGTGGTGCCACCAGGCGGCCCAACCTTCTTCACCCGCCCTCCGGGATCTGTAGGGCCCTGCGGGATCTCCCCGGAGGCCAGGGAGCTGTTTATTAGTAATTCACGTTTCATTTCCTATGACGTTTCACGTCGTCTAGCTCTGCGACTGGAAAGTTAGGTCGGAGTCTGCACGTGCAGATTGGTGAGCGACTTGTCAAGCGAATGGAAAAGATGGATGATCCCTCTCTCAAGGGATGAATTAGATGACAGATTTTTGGTTTTGGTGATTGACGATTTGCAGCTCCTTAGCTTAGGGCTTGTTAGCTTTCCTTTCCTTTTTCCTTTCCTTTTCCTTTCCCTTTCCCTTCCCTTCCCCTTCCTCCCTTCCTCTCCCTCCCTTCCTTCCTTCCTAACTTCCTTCCTCCCTTCCTTTGAAAAGAGCTTTTAATTTGCCTGTGAGCATTCACTGCGAGATGAGGGTATCTTAAGAAAAGCTATTTCCCAGTTATGTCGCAAGTCTTATTACCATCAAGGAAAAGTAAGATTACTCACTTCTTTTCACGGCACCTCCCACCCGAGTTACCCCAAACCTATGAATGAATAACCACAAGGCTCAAAGACGCGGGATTCTTGGAAAGAGATGAGGTAGCTTTGTTAGTACTGAGAATTGAAATTAAGCTGGCCATAAATGGGGTGTCTTTTTGAAATTTTAGGGTTAAAACTAACGTTCGAGACGTGAGGAAAAAAAAATTAATTCTGGAAGAAAATTGGACATCGGATTTCAATTTTACAGGAGAGGTGTTTGTTTTCAAAAAGAGCACAGGTCCTGCCTTGCCTTTCTGGAAAGACTTAACATTGTTTCTCAAAGACATCTGAAAACTAGTGTTGGTTTATGTTATGTGAACAGGCATCTTAAGTCATTTTTATGTTGGATTTTGTGGTGTTCTGTCGTTGTTCTGTGTGTCCGTGCAGGTGCATGCCTTCTTAGGCTAGCCATGCCGCATTGTTCTTGGGGAGTGTGGATTGTTTGGCACCTTTCCTTTGGGGTGCCCTCTGTGAACCGGGAGAAACAAAGTGACTGAAGTAGATACAGTACTTGCCCCTGTGGGCAACTTTCTACTGTAATTATCTACTTTATTCTCCTTTAAATTAATCATGAGCTGGGGCGCCTGGGTGGCGCAGTCGGTTAAGCGTCCAACTTCAGCCGGGTCACGATCTCGCGGTCCGTGAGTTCGAGCCCTGCGTCGGGCTCTGGGCTGATGGCTCAGAGCCTGGAGCCTGTTTCCGATTCTGTGTCTCCCTCTGTCTCTGCCCCTCCCCCGTTCATGCTCTGTCTCTCTCTGTCCCAAAAATAAATAAACGTTGAAAAAAAAAATTTAATAAAAAAAAATAATCATGAGCTGGGTGCTATGGAAACATGGAGCGGGAGAAATTGGGGAGGAGGTCAGGAAAAATATCTTATAAGGCACAAATGTTTGATTTCCCCCCCCCCCCCCCCCCGGCCCCCATGAGCTAGCTGCGTGTAGCTAGACAAGGGGTCGGCTGTAGGAGTGGGGAGGAGATTTGAGAGAACATTCCAGATACACAGTTCCTTAGGCAGGACTCGGCCTGGTGTGTTCCAGGAGCTGAGAAAAGACAGGGACAGCCGAGGTAGAGGAAACAAAGTGTGGAATGGTGGAGTCCGGTCGGAGAGGAGAGCAGGCCCTGAAGGCCATGGTCAAATCTGACCCAGTGCTGGTTTCCATAAAAAACATTTTATTGGAACACATTTGTTGCTGTGTGGTCTATGGCTGCTCTTGTGCTATGACCACAGTCCAGTAGCTGCTTTAGAGGCCATTTGGCCCACAGCTGCCTAGATATTTAGTGCCTGGACTTTTTAAGAAAACGTCTGCCAGCCCCTAGTACATAAAGTACTTAGTATGCATCAAGTGCTGTGGTGGTGGCAGGAGTTGGAGTCCCGAAAAAAAGTGGACCCAGGTTCGTACTTTGGGAATGTATGTGGTAGCTGGAGAGGGAGAGGCAGAATCACCTAAACAAGTAAATTAAAAATCGCAACTTGATCACAGCCGTGGAAGAAAAGTAGAGTCTGTTGGAGGTATTTTGAGGGAATGTAACGAGAGGGGAAATAATCCTTTTTTAAAAAATGTTTACTTATTTATCTTGAGAGAGACAGAGAGTGAGCACAAGCAGGGGAGGAGCAGAGAGAGAGAGAGAGAGAGAGAGAGAATCCCAAGCAGGCTCCACACTGTCAGTGAAGAGCGCTGGACGTGGGGCTCGATCTCGCCCTGAGATCATGACCTGAGCCGAAGTCAAGGGTTGGATGTTTAACCGACTGAGCCACCGAGGTGCCCCTAATCCTTTTATTAATTTTTTTTAATGTTTATTCATTTTTGAAAGAGAGAGACAGAGCACAAGCAAGGGTGGGGTGGAGAGAGAGGGAGACACAGAATCCGAAGGAGGCTCCAGGCTCAGAGCTGTCAACACAGAGCCTGATGTGGGGCTCAAACTCACGAACTGCGAGATCACAATCCGAGCCGAAGTCGGACGCTCAACCGACTGAGCCACCCAGGTGCCCCTTTAATCCTTTTATTAGATGAGAGGAACCACCAGAAATGATCAGGGGCTGTGGTCTGGAAGGTGGGTCTGGGCCCAGTATGTTGCTTATTGGGGAAGATTCCGTCTAAGGGTTTTGCTGGGCCTCCTTGCTGGAGACCCATGGAAGTGGGAGCACCTGGGCCAAACCCCTGTTCACTGCCCTGCTTCCAGCCTGACCCCTTTCTCTTACCTTGGTTTCTTTTATTGCAGGGAGGACACCTAATGAGACCTTAAATCCTGGCACTGGTGTCATGGTGAGGGGGCTGGGAGAGTTGGAATTGTTGAGGGGGGGATAATTCTGTCCTCTGGGCCCTGTCCCCTCTCTCCCCACCCCAAAATGAGGAAGAAACGGGAGGGGTAGTGTGGAGCACCTTCTGCCTTGCCCCCGGGGACCTGGTGGCCTCTTTCAGTGCCTGGCCTCTGGAGGGATCTGGCTCGGGAGGAGGGTCCCCACAGTGACCTCGGGGGCTCTGAGCTGAACTCCAGAGTCTGACTGCAGAATGAGGTTCATTTAAATTTTTAAAAAATGTTTATTCATTTTTTTTTGAGAGACCGAACATGAGCAGGGGAGGGGGAGAGAGAGAGGGAGACACGGAATCCAAAGCAGGCTCCAAGCTCTGAGCCGTCAGCACGGAGCCCGATGCGGGGCTCGAACTCACGAACTGCGAGATCACGACCTGAGCCGAAGCCAGATGCCTAACCGACTGAGCCACCCAGGCGCCCCTGAATGAGGCTCATTTAGAGTCGGTAGCAGCAGAGCTCCACCGGGGCCATCCCTTGTGAGGCCTCCCCAAACCACGTGTGTCTGTATACATTTAAATTAATTGAAATTCAGTAAAATTAAAGGTCAGTTTCTCAGGGGCCTGTGTCACATTTCTCAAGTGCTCAGTAGCTACGCATGCGGGGGGCTGCTCTCTTGGAAAGCACAGAGAACATTCCCACCATCGCAGAGAGCTCGACCAGACCATGCTGAGCTCGAGGATTCTGAAATTAAAAGGCCGTTGGGTTTCTCAGGCGCAACGGAAGTCCTGTTTTAGCAACTCGTAAAAGGATTACAAAGTGCTTATGTGAGTCTTGGGAGGGGTTCTAGGGATTTCACGAAAATTATGCGATGGACCCCAAACTTTTGACGCCTTAAATAAGAAATGTAGGACAAACTCTCCCTAGAGCCCAGAGATCGTCTCTGCAGTCACTGGCGGCTGAAGTGGCGAAGAGAGCCAAAGCCCACACTCTGGCATTTGTCCAAATGTTAGAAGCGAGGAAATGTCTGCTAGGGTGGCCATGTGATCCCTGTCCTGGTCACGGCAACGACTCACTGTTGTGGGTACGGCACAAAATGAGCCGTGGAGATGGCCAAACAGATGGGGCGTGGCGGCGTGCCAAAGAAACTTGAAAAGACAGGAGGCAGGCCGGGTTTGTGGAGCCCTGCTGTGGAGACAGTGTCCCGAACGTTCTCCCTTCCCCGGTGGTAAGCAGTTGTCCTGCAGGTGGGTTTTGCTGAGCCAGGATACGTGTGTTGTTGTAGGAGTCAGTCACCTTTGAGGATGTGGCGGTGGGGCTCCTCCGGGAGTGGGCATTACTGGATGGTGCGCGGACGAACCTGTGCCGATACGTGATACTGGACAAGTGCAGGACTCTGGCCCCCAAGGGTAAGGCTGGCATCGGGCTGGTCCTTTTTCTTCTTCTTCTTCTTCTTCTTCTTCTTTTTTTCAAGTTTATTTTTTATTTATTTTGAGAGAGAAAGCGAGAGAGAGAGAGAGAGCAAGCAGGGGAAGGGCATAGAGAGCGGGAGAAAGAATCCTAAGCAGGCTCTGAGCTGTCAGCACAGAGCCTGATGCGGGGCTCGAGCCCACAAACGGTGATATCATGACCCGAGCCAAAGGCAAGAGTCAGATGCTCAGCCGACTGAGCCATCCAGGCGTCCCATGGCTGGTCCTTATACGCAGGTGCCTAATGCTTCTTAAGGGTCGGCTACGCGACCAAGGAAGGTTTGTGGGTATCTGCAGGATAAGAGCCTCATCCATGGCAGTGCATCCATTCTCCCCAGAGTCAGAACCGCGTGGATCTCGCTGAGCTTGGACTTGGGCTTCAGGGCTTCATCTCCATGGCGCAGAGAGGAGGGTATTTGCGGTTTGGGCCCTTGTGAAAGAGCTTCGCTGAGTTCATTGGAAATGGGGCGTGATCACTTTGCTACCTGTGGTGGTCGCTCACCGCCAGGAGCTGAAGCCCACTGCCAACCCTCGCTCCCTATCTGAGCACGGGCATCTTTGTCCAGGAGCGGGGACTCCACCACGCAAACCCAGTCTGGGCTCCCAGCTGGGGCCAGGGGCAGAGCTGAGGGCCCCGTGGGTGTGGGTGAGTGTGTGTGCGGTGCCCGCCGGGTTGGGGGGGGCGGCGTGCTGGGAAGTGTCAGCCTGAGAGCGTTTCAGAGGCCCAAGGGGGAACGAGGCTCTTTGGGGTGACGTTTCTCTAGTGAGCTCCTTCAGTGTTCCTTCTCTTCTGCTGGCCTTCCTCTCCTACCTGTCTTTGGTCTCAGAAAAAGAGCTGTTTGAATCTCTCTCTTTTAGTTTTTTAAGTGGAAATACTCACAAACCATAAAATTCACCCTTTTAAAGTGTATGCAGTTCAGTGGTTTTTAGTATATTCACAACGTGCAGCCATCACCAGTATCCGCCCCCCCACCCCTCCCTGCCACCTCCATCTGCTTTCTGTCTCTGGATTTGCCTGTTCTGGACGTTTTGTACAAATAGGATCACGTAAATACGGCCTTTGGTCTCTCTTCTTTCCCTAGTGTGACGTTTTCCGTGTTCGTCCACACGTAGCATGTGTCCCAGCCTTGTTCCTTTTTACTGCTGAGTCCTGTTCCGTTGTACGGGTAGACCACGTTTTGTTTGTCCAGTCATCTGCTGATGGGCATTTGGTTTGTTTTCACTTTTTTGGCTCTGGTGAGTAGTGTTGTGAACATTCACATACCAGATTTTATGTCTCCCAGTTCTGTTCAGTTGATACTTAGGAGTGGAGTGGCCGGGTCATTGACTTAACTTTTTTTTTTGTTTAATCTTTTTTTAACGTTTACTTATTTTTGAGAGAGGGAGAGAGAGAGCACAAGCTGGGGAGGGACAGAGAGAGGGAGACACAGGGTCCGAAGCAGGCTCCAGGCTCCGAGCCGTCAGCACAGAGCCCGACGCGAGGCTGGAACTCACAGACCGTGAGATCATGACCTGAGCGGAAGTTGGACGCCTAACCGACTGAGCCACCCAAGCGCCCCGTATACTTAACTTTTTGAGGAACACCAAACTGCTCCCTCGGACAGGCGCACGCACCATTTTACATTCCCACCAGTGGTGGTGGAGAGTTCTGACTTCTCCACGTTATACCCACACTTACTGTCCAATCCCTCTTTTTTTTTTGTTATTGTTTATTTATTTTGAGAGAGAGGGAGAGAGCATGAGCAGGGGAGGGGCAGAGAGAGGGAGAGAGAATCCCAAGCAGGCTCCGCACTGCCAGTGCAGAGCCAGATGCGGGGCTCGATCCCACCACTGTGAGATCACGATCTGAGCCCAGATCAAGAGCCGGACGCTTAACCGACTGAACCACCCAGGCGCCCCTCCGGTTCCTCTTTAAATTGAACATTTCTGGTGTGTTCTTTGTCTAATTGCTTGCTACTTGTTTCTGTGATAATGCTGTCTTACTGGCGACATCTGTCTCCGTCTCCATGGGAAACAGCCTCTCATCCCGGCCCCCTGCCCTGGTTGCTGCCAAGTTCGTCACACGCCCATAGTCCTCAAGAGCCTCCCTTTGCTCACTGATGCCTTCTTGCCTTTCAGTATTGTCCCCAGTTGAGAGTCAATACTTCAAAAACAGTATTTTAAAACAGCAAATAAATAAATAAATACACAAGTGTATATTTTGGTCAGTTTCATACCCCTATTTGTTTCTGAAAGAACTTAACTTTTTTTTCCCCCCCAATTCATTTTAGACTGGGACTCTCGACTCAAATCCCAAGCGTCTCCTCCCGTGCAGGATATTTTGGAGGGAAATTCATCCCCGGGTTTGCACATGGTAAGATTCACGGGGGCTTGTCCTTGTTCCCCCTCTCGGGAGAAGGTGAGGAGTACGTGGGTTGCAAATGCACACCAGGGCCAGGGGGCCGTGGGGGGGGCACTTCCTCAAAGACATTCCCACGTCGTGTGAAGCCGGTGCCCATGGCTCGTGAATTTGGACAAGCCCTGCCTGTCCCTCGAGACCCTTTCTTCCCGGAAGGTTCCCCCGAGTCAACATGTCCGTTAGCGGGAGTCAGACATCGGTCGTGTGCGGTGCGGTTTGCTCCTCAACAGTCATGGGAAACTCCTGCCTGCTGGAGAAGCCCCAAGGAAGTCGGGAACGGGAGAGAGCCCGCACTGCCCTGGAGCCTGCAGCCCGCCTGAGCGAGGCGCACGTCTGAGCACGCTGCAAATGTGCCTCGGCGGGGAGGGGAGCAGCCCTGGGCGCTTCACGGGTGTCAGCAAGGTTGCCCTCATCACCCACCCGCTGCCAGGAGCGGACTCTGCCCGGAGAGCGGATTCGGCCACAGCCCGAGCGCCTTCAGGAGGAACTCTAACCTGGACCTGACTGAGACAGCCCTGGGGGACAGCCACCCTGACTTATATAAAGGATGTGAGAGCGCTCTCGTGGATCGCTCCCCACTTAGGGGACATGTCGAGATCCCACGCTGGAAATCAGCCCTTGTCAGGGCGTGGAAAAGCCTTCAGAGCCGGCTGGCGCGTCCCAGTGCACCAGGGAACACACATCGGGCCCCCCGGCCCCCCACTTTGGCCCTGGCTTCCTGCCTCCCCAAACTATAGGAATTTCCCAGGTTTGAGTCCCCAGACTTTTGGGGACTTCAAAGGTTAGGGTTCAGGTTTGGATAGAGGGACATACAGAGCCCAGTCTCCCCACCCCCACCCCCACCCCCACCGCCACCCCCACCCCCACCCAAGCCTGGGCCCATTTGTGCCAGAGTCAGTGAGATCTCTGGGCTCCCTCAGTCTGAGCCCCTCCACCTCTGTCATGGCTGGTGTCAGTCTGACAGCGTCAGAGACGCCGGCTAGTGGAGGGGGTGGCGTGGCCTGGGTGGTAGAGACCTGCTTCATTCCTTTGCTCTGAGTGTGCAGAGCCTCATCCCTGCACAGCCTGGTGTGGGCTGCAGGGCAGTGGAAACCCTCAGCCCTGCACGGCTCGCATCAGACCCCAGAGCAGCTGAGACCACCCCCCCTTCCCTGCCCAGGTCCTCCTCACTGTTGGTTCACGTTTTTGTTTAGGTGGAGAATGTCCTCCAGTAGCTGCTTGGGAAAGGGCGTGTTGCTTTTGAGGCCCTGAAAATATGTGAAAATGTCTTACTGGAGCTGCCGGCTTGCAGGGGCCTCGTCTGGCAGGATCGTTGTGGTAACCCCATGCAGAACATTCTGTGCATCATTACAGAGCCCTGGACTAATGCTTGTGCAGTGAAGGAATGAACACGGGTACCCCAGGCCTTCACCCCTCCCCATGAGCAGATGGACCCTGTGAGGGAGGGAGCGAGGATGGCCCACATCTGTATTCTCCAGTTTCTGTGGGCTCTTTCCTCTTAGTACGGGGTTCCAGCACCTTCCGCAGAGCTCCACCTTCAGCTCAGAAGTGAGCACCGAGTGTGGGAGAGGAGGGGCTTCTGCTGCATTGAGCCCCAGGAAGCAGGCGGTCGCAGAATGTTCTGAGCGGGGAGAGGAGGGCCACTCGGACACGCACGTGCAGAAGTTGAGTGGTTCGTCATGAAGACACGCAGCCCGTAAGTGGTACGGCCACGTTTGGAGCTGGGAGTCCAATCCAGGCCTACCGCAGAGGTGCAGAGGTAGCCACCGGGACCTGCTGCCCGGGGGTCACACATCCTGCCACGCGGCTGAAGGCGCTGACTGTTGGGCTCGTCTTTCCGGGCTTCAGTGGGCCTTGTCCCGACGACTGAGACCCCCATGGCGGCCCTGAGGCCTCCCCGTCATGGCTAGATAGGCCAGGGGAGGGCACGAGAGAGCTGGGGACTGCTCGTAGAAGAGTCCCGAGAGGAGGCTGCGGAAGGGGTGTCTCCGGGCTCAGTCCTTCTACCGTCCCAGCCGCCCTCCCCCATGCCGTGTCTCCTCCATGCTGTTTCAGGGCACAGGGATGTTAGCTTGTGCGAGCGCTGGAGAAGGGCAGCGTTCAGAGGACGGGCTCTGGATGGCAGGGCAGATGTAACCCAACTGTGGCCTGTAGGTAGGTAGGCCCCGTGATTGATGGATATCAAATAGACAAACACAGGCTAAGAAAACACCGAACAACGTTCCTATTCAGAGCTAAGGGCTCCCAGCCTTCCTTGAGTGAAGCACGTTGCAGTGTCTCTGAGGGCCCGTGGCCTGACCTGCAGTCGGGCCCCCCACCCCAGAACCAGAAAGGGTCGGGTCCACTTTGGCGCCTGTGGCATGATTGGTCCTTGAGACCCTTGGTGGCTGGCGCTCACCGTGGAATAGCGGGAGTCACCGGATCTGAAGCTGCCAGACCTGCACGCCTGACTTCTCACAGCACTGCCCCCAAACTGAGGGTCCCTCAGGCCCAGAACACACTCAGTGCCGCCGCTGTCCTGCTCCGTCCCCTCTGTGCCTTCTCCTAGGGGCCGGGGCCAGACCTGAGGATGCACATCAGGCCCACAATTGGAGACAGAGAGACACCTTCGATTCCAGAAGACCGGCTATCTCTCTGGCTGTCACCTTGGTCTTCTGGATATGTAGTAACCCTGGGAGGAGGTTTGCTGTGAGGGCCAAGCCCCAGCCAGAAAGGCCTGGGCTTTGAGACTTCTGCAGATGGGGTCGCGGGGGGAGAGGGAGGAATCTAGGACCAACTCTTGGAAACTGGGGACAGGCTGGAGGCCCAGGCGCAGCTCCCCGGTAGGAACTACCACATGGGTCCTGGCGTTCCTGTGTCCCCAGGGTGGTGGTGGCCCAGAGCAGGCCTCCAGGAGGAGCAAGCACCCAGGGCCTTGGCCCTGCCTCCCCTGGCCCAGCCTTTCTTCCTCCATTCCTTCCACTTTCACTCCCACCCTGTCCGTGACCGTGAAGCCTATAGGAATGAGTGATCGTGTGATCCCAGGGCTGGGTGGAGAGCCCAGGCTGGTGACTGAGCTCTTGGCCCAGGGTCCTGTGTTTCCACCCTAAGGTGGAGAGAGGATCAGAGAAGGACACTTTAAGGTGTGCTTTGATTCTTCCCACCGGGGAGAAGGGCTGCCCCCACCTGCCCAGGCCCCTCGCCTGTCCTGAGACACCTGCCACATTTTCTTCCCATCCACCACTAAGTCCTGGGAGTCCCCTCCCCGCCAAACGTAACTTATCTCTAACTGCTCCTGCTGTCCCCACTGCCACCACCCTGCCCAGAGCCACTGTTAGTTCTCGGGGGCCCCTGGAACTGCTCCCTACAGGCCCCTGTTCCCACTGGGCCCTACCTTGGACACAGAGTCTAGAGACGTCCCTTAGACATACAAGTCAGATGAGACACCTTTCCTGGGGAAGCAGCCACCAGTGGAGGACAGTTCAGATCCTTTCTCTCACAACAGGGCTGCCTTGCGAGAATAACTTACTAACTATTCCTCGCGTGTCTAGGCCCACCTCCACATCACCAACCACCCCCGCCCCCCAACCTGCTGGTCATCTCCGCCCTTCTTTGCTCCAGCATTTCCCCTGCTGCTGGAGGCAACTCCCCCAAGGCGGCCCCCTCTCCGTCCCATTTTGAAGTTGAAATTCTACCACAGGGATGAGTGTTGTACTCGTGAATTGGATTGGTCTGGACAGGCTGAATTGGGCACTGTCCCAATTTTACCTTCGCGTGGCTCGGAGCAGGGTCAGTCTTGCAAATTCAGTCAGGGCGAATGGCTGTGAGCAGATTCCATCGACCGTGTGACCCTAATCTGTCCCTGTCACTGTGTCTAGGGGCGGAAGGCGGCCGCGCAGATTCAGAGGGTGGCTGTGCCGGTGCCTGCACTGAGTCTCCCTGAGCTGAGGATGGCTGGGGATTCTGGTGAGTGAGCACTGGCTGGAAATGGCAGCCCGAGGGCCTCCCATGTGCTGTGCTGTGTCTGGGAACTTGGATCTCCCGCCTTCATTTCCTGGGACAGCAGGCATTTCCTTGCCCCTTAAGGAGGATCCATAAAATCATGTCACCATTCTTTACGTATTCAAGGGGATAGGCACTTTCTCAGGATCGTGAGCTGGGATTCTTTCTGTGTATGTGTTTTTGTTTTTTGTTTTTTTTTTTTGGTCTTTGGTCTTTTTTGTTCAGAAAGAGTAGACTCCATTCACCTGTGGCTAAGTCCAGACCTCTTTCTGGGCAAGGTTAAATTCTTCACTCCACAATTATGTTGGTGCTGAATTGACAGTCAGATTTACTCTAAATTGAATATGTTTTAACTGAGCTTATAAAAAATGAGGTTGAAACAGGCCGCATGTCCTGAGGAGTGGGGGGGAGGGGGGGTGGAATTAATTCTGGAGGACAAATGATATCTTAGCTTTAATTTCAAGGGATTTGCTTCCTTCCATCGTGCCTTCTTTAAAAAAAAAATTTTTTTTTTTAATACATTTATTTAATTTTGAGAGAGAGAGACAGAGCACTAGTCGGGGAGGGATAGAGAGAGAGGGAGACACAGAATCTGAAGCAGGCTCCAAGCTCCGAGCTGTTAGCACAGAGCCCGATGTGGGGCTTGAACTCCCAAACTGTGAGATCGTGACCTGAGCCGGAGTCGGACGCTTAACCTACTGAGCCACCCAGGCGCCCCTGCCTTGAAGTACTCTTAAGATACTTAGAGTACCTCATGCCTTTGAAGTACTCTTAAAAATTTTTTTTAATGTTTATTTTTGAGAGAGAGACAGAGACAGAGACAAGAGTGCGAGCAGGGGGCGGGCAGAGAGAGAGGGAGACCCAGAATCCGAAGTAGGCTCCAGGCTCCGAGCTGTCAGCACAGAGCCCAATGCGGGGCTCGAACTCACAAGCTGTGAGATCATGATCAGAGCCGAAGTCAGACGCTTAACTGACTGAGCCACCCAGGTGCCCCTTGAAGTACTCTTAAAGTGCTTAGAGTACCCTGTACTTGAAGGACTCTTGAAACACTTGGAATCCTCCATGCTCTTGAAGGACTCTTGAAGTGCTCTAGTTGGCCACCCTGTGGTGAGACGGGCCCTGCGAGAGAATCTCAAACAAGACATTGACCCCTCCCCTGTGGAGCTCACAGTCTGCCTGGGCAGTCAGATGTTTCAGTGAAGACCAGAATATGATGGAAGCATGTAACACAAGGACTTTATCTCGAAGGCCGAGTGGAGTTTCGGGAAATTTGAGGTCAGACCATGGGTTCTCACCTGCGGCACTGGCGACACTGGGACCAGATCATTCTCCTTGGGGGCAGGGGGCGCTTTCTGTGTGTTGTGGGACCTCCACCCACTAGATGTCAGTAGCATGTCCTGCATTAGCCAGCCAGGGCCGCCATAACACAAAGGGCCACAGACTGAGCAGCTCAAAGAAGAAACGTTTGTCTTCTCACGGCTCTGGGGCCCAGAAGTCTGAGACCTAAGGGCTGTGATCTGTTCTGGGCATCTCTCCTTGGCTTGTAGATGGTTGTCTTGAGTTTTCTCTTCGTACGTGTCTGTGTTCAAGTTTTGTTCTTACAAGGACACCAGTCAGAGTGGATTAGGGCCCACCCAACTGGCCTCATTTTAGTTTGATTAGACCTCATGTCTGGATACGGTTATATTCTGAGGTGCTGGGTAGCTGAAGTTTTGGAGGGGCACGAGGCCATAACAGGTCCTAGTCGTGACAGCCGAAAATGTCTCCAGAAGCTGTGACTGGTCCCTGCCTCTGCCCCCCAAGATCATATGCTGAAGTCCTAACCTCCCATCTGACAGTGTTGGAGACTGGGCCTTTAAGGAGGTGGCTAAGATTAGTTGAAGTCATAAGGGTTAAGCTCCAATCCCATAGAACTGGTGTCCTTATAAGAAGAGGGAGAGACACCACATTCTCTGCTGTGTGAGGACACAGTGAGAAGGCAGTTGTGTACAAGCCAGAAAGACAGCTCTCACCAGAACCCGATCATGCTGGCACCCAGCCTCCAGAACTAGGAGGAAGTATTTTTTTTTAATTTTTAAAAAGTTTTTATTTATTTTTGAGAGAGAGAGAGAGAGAGAGAGACAGAACATGAGCGGGGGAGGGACAGAGAGAGAGAGGGAGACACAGAAGCAGGCTCCAGGCTCCAGGCTCTGAGCTGTCAGCACGGAGCCCGACGCGGGCTCGAACCCGTGAACTACAAGATCATGACCTGAGCTGAAGTCGGGCACTCAACCGACTGAGCCACCCAGGCGCCCCAGTAATTTTTTTTTAAAGTTTATTTATTTTGAGAGAGTGCATAGGAGGGGCAGGAAGAGAGAGAGAGAGAGACAGAGAGAGGGAATCCCAAGCACTGTCATTGTAGAGTCCAATGGAGGGCTCAAACTCATGAACTTCAAGACCACGACCTAAGCCAAAATCAAGAGTCAGACACATAAATGACTGAGCCACCGAGGTGCCCCGGAAATAAATTTCTACTGTTTCAGCCCCCCTGTCTGTGATATCTTGTTATGTAGCAGATCTGACCAAGATACCAGACTGCCATGTGTCCCCTGGGGGACGAGTATTGGCTTAGACCGTGATGCACGATTACTGTATCATTTAGGTTGGCAAGATGTTGGGCTGTTTAGAGAAGGTTTGAGGGGAGGATTTCAGGCCTAGAAATGGCATCTGGAAAATTCCTTGGGGGGCAGAGAGGCCGGGGTGCCCAGGGGCCCACGGAAGGCTGTGCAAAGGGAGCAGAGGGAAGGGGAGCGTGGTGTGAGCTGACTAGAGAGGGTGGGGCTCTGGAACATTCAGGCCTGGAAGCATGAATCCTGGCCTGTGTCCTTAGGCTGCTGGGAGCCAGGGATGTGTTTGGGTGAGCAGTGCTGTGCATCTGTGGTTTTAGCAGAACCCTCTAGCACCTGGGGGGTGGCAGGGCCTCAGGGAGGGTGGAGGGGTGCGTGGAGGCAGTGAGGAACAGAGTGGTCGTGGCCTAGGCCCCAGGTGAGTGCGGAGTGGGTGTGGCGGGGTCCCTGAGACCGTACCCGGTCGTGGCCATTCGCTAGGAAACCCAGGCCTCGGCCTGCAGTCGTGCTCAAGGTGGTGATTTATCACAGCGAAGGGACACAGAGCTGAGTCCTTGGCGCATGAGGTGAAGTCTGGAGGAGTCCAGGCCCGAGCTTCCGGAATCCTCTCCCAGTGGAGTCACACAGGACGTGCTTAATACCCCCTGCAGCAAGCCGTGACAACACATGTGAGGTGGTGTCTACCAGGGGAGCTCAGTAGAGGCTCAGAGCGCAGGTTTTCACTCAGGGCTGGTCACACGGGCACCCTTGACTCTGCCTTGAAGTACTCTTAAGTCAGGCGTGCACCTGACTCTGGTCAGCAAGTCCCAGCCTCCCGGAAGGAAAGCAGGCATTCGGCACAAACCCCAGTGTTCGTAGAAGGAATTTAAGCAGGGTGAGCCCCTCTTACCAGTTAAGGTGCTGGGAACCCTCTCAAGATACGTGTTCCCAAGGGCCGCCAGTCAGGCCTGTGGGGTTAGCTCTTGTCTACACGGTAGGGAATCACAGAGTGATTTAAGGCCTGTGTGGGTGGTCGAGTTGAGATAATTTGCTGAGTCCCGTATACTTTCATTTACCAGATAATCGGGAGCATTCCTGTACCAAGTGGGGCGGGGGGCGGTGAAAGGAGAGGGGCCCAGGCTTGTTTTCACGAAGCTTCCAGTCCCACGAAGGTGGCAGAAAATACACACCTAAGGCAGCAGATAACCATGTGGTACAAATAGGTGAGGGCTGTGAGGAAAGGGGGACGGTTCTTCTAGAGAAAGGAAGGACACTGGGGAGGGGGAGGTGCTCTGAGGGAGTGACCTTTCAGTGGACTCAGAAAGGAAAGGCCTGATGTGGCATTAGCCACAGTGAGGACAGGGGTAGGAGGAAGGGGAGTGGCGGGGGGGTGCTCCCTGTAGAGATGGCGGCACTGATTTTCTTTTTTTGGATTACTTGTTGGGGTCTGGAGAGCGTCAGGGAGGGGTGAGAGGCGTGGATATCACTTCCTGAGATCAGGGGCACTGGAAAGAGGACAGGCTTTGAGAATGAGGCGATGAGCACATATTTTGGGGAGGGAGGGCACGAGACAACAGAAATTCACGTCTCGCAGTTCTGGAGGCCAGAAGTCTGAGATCAGGGTGCTGGTGGGGCTGTGCTGCCTGTGAGGCCTGGAGGGAGGCTCCTTCCTGGCATCCAGTGGTGGCTGGCAGTCCCTTGGCCTGAAGTTACATGGCTCCGGTCTCGGCCTGCATCGTCACGTGGCCTTCTCCCCTCGTGTGTCCCTGCTTCTGTCTTTCTTCCTCTTAGGACACCAGTCATATTGGGTTTGGGGCCCCCCCCCCCCGACTCCACTGTGACTTCGTCTTAGCTAATCACACCTGCCAAGACCCTCTTCCCAAGTAAGGTCACGTTTTGAGGTACTGGGGAGGTTACGACTCCATAACTCTGGGGGGGGGGCGCAATTCAACCCATGACGGTCTGCCCTCTGTACCCCCCCCAACCAAATTCATGTCCTCCCCAGATACCAAGTACACTCAGATGATCTTGACACCCCCAGAGTGGGTGTCTTGACACCCACTTCAGCATCGACTCCCAAGTCCCAAATCTCATCAGCTCAGAAAAGTCCTTGTGTCCTCATATGAATCATTCAAATCAGGCATGGGTGAGATTCAGGGTGTGGTCCATCCCGGGGGGCAAAATTCTTCATCTGTGAACCTGTGAACCGAGGAAACAAGTCCTCTGCTCCCATAATGCAGTGGTGGGACACGCACCGGGCGCTCGTTCCCTCTCCCGAAGGGAGAGAAAGAAGAGATCATGGGTCCCAAGCAAGCTCCAAACCCAGAAGGGCAAGTTCAAGGCTTGATGGCAATCCTCTGCTTGTGGTGGTGGGGGGGGTGCGAGGGGAGGAGGGGGGCAGTAGTCCCACCCCCAGCTCACTGAGTCCCCAGGACAGATGAGTGGGGACACGAGCTGATGGTGTGGAGGTGGGTCTGGAGTTGAGGGGGGAGAGTCAGCCCGGGGTCTGGGCCTGGTCAGGCCGTGAGGCTGCCTGCTGAGGCAGAGGCTCAGGGGAGTGAGGACAGGGGTCACAGTCGCGTGAGGGACAGAGGAGGGTCTTGTACAGAGGAGGCTGGGGGCGTGGTCACTGAAGCCCCCGGGGTGGTGGGCTTCAGTGTGGAAGGATGGAGGGCTGAACACATGACTGGATCCCCACCGCAGATGGGGGTCGCTGGTGGTCCGAGTGCGGTGCCTGTCCTTGTGATCATGAGTGAGCGGGAGGTGAGGAAAGGGACACAGAGGATTGGTTGCCCACGGCGGGGAAGCAAAAACATTATGCATTATGTAGAGGGAAAAGCAGAGTGTTGTGGCTTAAATTGCGGTGCCCCCCAAAAGATCCACTGAAGTCCTAACCGCCGGTACCCGTGACTGGGACTGAGACCTTACTTGGAAATAGGGTCTGTGCAGCTGCAGGTTACGATGAGGTCATGATGCGGGGGCCCAGAGTGACTGGTGTCCTTTTAAGGAGAAAACACCAGGTGCAGACAGGGACACTCGGGAGAGGACGGCCATGTGATGACAGGTGCATAGATCGGAGGGACGCAGCTGCAGGCCAAGGAGCACCCAGGATTCTGGACAGTCGCCGCCAGAAGCCAGGAGGAGGCGAGGAGGGATTCTACCCAGAGTCTCAGAGGGAGTGAAGCCCTGCCGCCACCTTGGTCTTGGACTTGTGGCCTCCGGAGCTGAGACAGAAGATGTATCTGGGGTTTTGAGCCTCTCAGTTGGCGGTGCTTGGTTACAGCAGCCCCAGGAAAGGCATACATGGGGTCAGAGGTTGGACGTGGGTCAGGGTTCTGTGTTTTTGTTTTTTTTTAATGATTAGATGCAATTAATTTTCTTTATTTGCATGATATGCTTTGTTTTTCAGTTCAGGATTAGTTCCCAGGGGGAAAGGTCCCGTGGCAGGGGGAGGTGAGCATGTAGGGAGACAAGGGATGGTGGGGGAGGTCACTCGCTCACCTGTCACGGGCCCCGGGCGGATGGAGGGAGGGGTGTGGTGGATTTGAAGGCAGGAAGGGGAGATCCTTCCTTCTCGTAGGCGGACCCCTGGGGTGGTGGCTGCTTCTCTGGCCCCTGCTTGTGCTAAGTCCTGGGCTGCCCCTGGAGCTGAGCAGCTTGGGAGGGAATGCTGACCCAGGGCTGAATCAAGGGGCAGTGGGGGTGCCCCAGAAACCCCAGGGTCTGTCGACGTGGGATTGTATAACTCCAGAGATTTGGAACGGAAGCAACATGTGCATATATGTGCGTGTTTGCACGTGTGTCCGTGTGTCTGTCTGTTTCTGTGCGTGTGTACTCGTCCGTGTGTGTCTGTGCGTCCGGGTCTCCGTGCATGCGTGTGTGAGTGCATGCACGTGTGTGTCCTCGTGTGTGTGCATGTGTGCCTAAGCACGCAAGTGTGTGTGTGTGTGTGTGTGTGTGTGTGTGTCGTACGTGCGTGTGCATACATGTGTGCACCTGTGGTCGCTTCACCGTTTTGGGGCGGGCAGCCCAGGGGTCCTGTGGGTGTGCTCACCGGGCCTCCTGGCTGCCCTCTCCTGTAGCTCTGCTTGCCCAGGACCCCGCCTGGCTCCAGAAGGAGAACACAGAGGGGGAGTCTGTGGCTCCTGGGATGCTGCTCAGCTGTCCGCAGGTGAGTAGGAAACCCCTGTTGCTCAGGCCCTGATTCTCCTCCCTCGGCCTGGAGCTTCTCGCCTCGCCCCCACAGGGCTGGTGTCCAGGCTCCTAGGCCCTGGGCCTCTTACAGTGTCAGAATCGGGGTGGGGGGGGAGGGATGTGGGGGCAGCCCAGGTGGTGATCCCGCCCCTTCGTTCAGACCTTCCCTAGCCGAGCAGTGCCTGGTTCTACTGGGCACCAGGAGGGTGGTGAGCTGCCCTTGTTCGCTAGTCCTCACGGTTTCCCGGGACAGATAGCGGTCATTTACCACGTGTTTCTCTCTTGTCTGCCACGTGCTCAGGCCTGTGGGACCCTGGAGCCGGAGGGGAATAAAACTGCCATGGCTTCCCAGCTGGTAGCTAAGTCCTTCGATGCCACACCTCTGGATGCTGTCCCTCGGGGACAAAGGTGCAGATGGAGGAGAGTTCTAGTTCTGGGGCCTGAGCCAAGGGGCAGCCTCCGAGAGACCTCGGGGCCCCGTGTGACAATCCTCTGCACGGTCTTCCTTCCCCAGGCCGGCCCCTCACCAGCCTCTTGGGTACTGGTGGGGGTGCCCCCTGGCTGAGCCGGGACGGGTGTGTGTTTCAGGAACCAGTCACCTTCGAGGATGTGGCTGTGTTGTTCACTCCGGAAGAATGGATGTTTCTAGACTCTGCCCAGAGAAGCCTGTACAGAGATGTGATGCTGGAGAACTATAGGAACCTGGCCTCTGTGGGTAAGGCCAGCCCCGTGGCTTCACCCACATACCCATGCAGGCCCTACGGGTTCCCGGAATTGTGCCGGTTTGGGAAATCGAGAGGCAAAAAAAGAGAAATCCTGCCCTCACGGTGCTTACGGTCTAGCAGCTTCCCTGTGGCGATGGAGGTCTCTCTGCTGCTTTCTGTTTCTCCACAGTTAAAAGTGTCTGGGGCTTTTCTAGTGCCTCTCTGAGTCAGGCCCTGGGTTTTGGGGACTGGAAAATCCCATCATCCTTTGGGACCCAGTGAGGGAGCTTGTACTTTGGCCCCTTAGTGGAAGGGCCCGACCGTGCCCATGGGAATTTAGGGGTGCTCATTTTGTTCTTCCCATCTCCGGTGCCCCCTAAAGACATCAGGATACGGGCCCCGGTTTACTGGCAGGCACGGCTCACGCCCTGCGTATTTCCCCATGAGCAGGAGATCAGCTCGGCAAATTCAGTTCGTTTTCCCATTTGGAGCAAGGAGAAGACTGGTGGTCGACGGAGAGGAGAGTCTTCCCGGGAAGCTGCCCAGGTGACGCTTTCAGTGACCTTGACGAAGCCGCTCTACTGGATGCCACCGCCTTCCCTCTTTATCCCGAATACTTTACTCTGGTTTCACAGGATGATTTGTCCTGCCTCCTCGTCACCTTGGTCACCTCCATGTGTCTGTTTTATCCTGTGTGTGTTTTCCGCGGATGCAGCGTGTGCATGTTTTATCCGGTGCCTCCCCGCCCCCCGTATGTTCTTGCTAACACTTTCTCTCAATTTCGGCCTCAACCTTCATAGGCTCCTTTCTCAGTAACTTATCTACCATTTCTTTTTTTTTTTTATTTTTTATTTTTTCAACGTTTATTTATTTTTGGGACAGAGAGAGACAGAGCATGAACGGGGGAGGGGCAGAGAGAGAGGGAGACACAGAATCGGAAACAGGCTCCAGGCTCCGAGCCATCGGCCCAGAGCCCGACGCGGGGCTCGAACTCCCGGAGCGTGAGATCGTGACCTGGCTGAAGTCGGACGCTTAACTGACTGCACCACCCAGGCGCCCCTCTACCATTTCTAATCCTTGTTGCTGTGGTTACATAGCTCCTTACAGAGCCAGATGCCTTAACATTTCCTGGACACTCTTCCCAGTTTCTTCCCAGTTTCTTCCCGTACTTAGAATCAGTATTAAAAAAACACAAAACCCCACATGCCCTGCTTATTCTTCTGGTTGCCCTGTTTGTACAGTTTTCTCTGTGCACTTACTTTTTCCTTCCTTGTCCATTTCAGAACCTTCGCTTCCACCCCAAGGTTCAATTCCTAACCAAGATATTTTTGCAGAGATTTCCGTTGGCATGGAAAGGGTAAGGCACCCAAGGAGCATTCTCGGTTCTGTTGTAGGACGAGTCTGGGGTTGCTGCAGGTTAGAAAAGCAGGGCTGCCTGGCTGGCTCATTCAGAGGAGCCTCCGACTCTTGACCTCGGGGTGGTGAGTTTGAGCCCCATGTTGGGTGTAGAGATTGTTTAAATCAATCAATCTTTTAAAAAAAATTTTTTTTAATGTTTATTTATTATTGAGAGACAGAGCACGAGCAGGGAAGGGACAGAGAGAGAGGGAGACACAGAATCTGAAGCAGGCTCTAGACTCTGAGCCGTCAGCACAGAGCCTGATGCGGGGCTCGAACTCCCAAACTGGGAGATCATGACCCGAGCCGGAGTCGGATGCTTAACTGACTGAACCCCCCGGGCGCCCCAAATAAATCAATCTTAAGAAAGAAAGAAAGAAAGAAAGAAAGAAAGAAAGAAATAGCATGAGGCCAGAGAGAGAGAGAGAGAGAGAGAGATTGATTCAAGGTGAGTGGTGCTCACCCAGGAGAACACAGTGTCCTGGGAGAGAGTCTGTGAAAGTCATGAATTGGGGAAAACTCTACATGTAGATTAAGGCATGTGTCTTCGCAGAGTTCCCACAGGCAACCGCTTGCACCAGTGAACAGGTACCAAGTGTTTAAGGCTCCGTGTGGCTTTAACTCGGCAAAATTCTGCATCTGAGAGGCCTCATGAAAGTAAAGACAGTGACAGTGCTTTGTGGGCAGCATCCCCTTGAAGGGACTCGGGGCGGAAATGGTCCAGACTCACTAAGAGAGTAGATACTAAAAGGCATCTATGCCTCGGCTGTCGATACCTTTCCCCTACGCCCAGTTGCCCCCCCCCCCCCCCCCCCGGGGGGAGAATGTCTGTGAACGTAATAAAGCCTCAGGTCTTCGTATTTTCCTCCATCAACAGGGGCGGCCTCAGGCGGGAGAAAACCTCTACGAACACAGTGAACTCGGAAAACCCTCGCCCGGCGTCCAACCGCTTTTTCAGTACCAGAGCATTCATGCTGGAGGCGACCCCTGCGAATGCCCAGAGAGCGGAAGATCCTTCTTCCAGCCCGCTCGGCTCCTCGCGCCTGAGAAGATCCGCCGTGGGGACAGAACCTTCGCGTGTCGCCAGTGTGAGAAGTCCTTCAGATACAGCTCCGACCTGATCAGGCACGAGAAGACCCACACCGCGGAGAAGTGCTTTGAGTGTCAGGAGTGTCGGCAGACCTTCAAGTACTCCTCGAATCTGCGGCGTCACCTGAGGACTCACACCGGAGAGAAGCCCTTCGAATGTGCCCAGTGTGGGAAAACCTTCACCAGGAACTTCAACCTGATTTTGCACCAGAGAAACCACACGGGCGAGAAGCCCTACGCGTGTAAGGACTGTGGGAAAGCCTTCAACCAGCCGTCCTCCCTGCGGAGCCACGTGAGGACTCACACCGGCGAGAAGCCCTTCGGGTGCAGTCAGTGTGGGAAAGCCTTCAGGGAGCACTCGTCGCTGAAGACGCACCTGCGAACGCACACCCGGGAGAAGCCGTACGAATGCAGCCAGTGCGGGAAGCCCTTCCGGACGAGCACGCACCTGAACGTGCACAAGAGGATACACACCGGGGAGAAGCTGTACGAGTGCGCTACGTGCGGCCAGGTGCTGAGTCGCCTCTCGACCCTCAAGAGTCACATGCGAACCCACACCGGAGAGAAGCCCTACGCGTGCCAGGAGTGCGGGCGCGCCTTCAGTGAACCTTCCTCCCTCCGGAAACACACCAGGACCCACACGGGCAAGAAGCCCTACGCGTGTCAGGAGTGCGGGCGCGCCTTTGGTCAGTCTTCACACCTTATCGTGCACGTGAGGACCCACACCGCAGGGAGGCCCTACGCGTGCAGTCAGTGTGAGAAGGCCTTCAGGCACAGCTCTTCGCTCGCCGTGCATAAGAGGGTTCATGCCGGGAGAGAAAGCGCTAAGAGCGGTGGCCTGCCTCTATCAGTGTCCCAGCCGTATGTCGGGCCCCTTGCTGATTAATGTTCGACTTTTATTTTTTTAATTTAATTTTTTAATTATCAGAGAGAGAGAGAGAGAGAGAGAGAGAGAGAGAATGCACGTGCATGGGGGAGGAGCAGAGAGAGAGAATCTTTTTTTTTTTTTTTTTTTGTATTTATTTATTTTTGAGGGAGAGAGAGACAGAGTGCGAGTGGAGGAGGGGCAGAGAGAGAGACACACACACAATCCAAAGCAGGCTCCGGGCTCCGAGCTGTGAGCACAGAACCCGACGCGGGGCTCGAACCCACGAGACATTGAGATCACCACCTGAGCCGAAATCGGTCGCTCAACCGACTGAGCCACCCAGGCGCTCTGGGAGAGAGAGAATCTCACGCGGGTGTGGAGCCCGATGCGGGACACGATCCCACAACCCTGGGATCATGACCTGAGCCGAAACCAAGAGTCGGACGCTCAACCGACTGAGCCACCCAGGCGCCCTCCAAGTTTTCTAAAAGTATAAACGTTCCAAGCTGTCATCCTCTCTCGTGGCACTCGTTTGGCCACATTCCATGTTTTGATGTGTAATATTTTCATTTTGGTTGAAATCTAAGTATTGTCTTAGTTTCTGTTACCACTTATTCTTTGGCCCATGAGTGATCTGTAATTAGATTTTAAAACCATGGGATGTGGATATATTTTTCTAGAGGTATAATTACTCCTAGCGAAATGCATAAACCTTAAGTGTATAGCTGGAGGAGTCTGACAGGTTCATATGTATGTTCATGTCACCAACCCGCCATTCAAGGTATATAACATTTCTGTCATTCCGGAAAGTTCCTGCATGTGTATGGGTGTTTTTTTTTTTTGTTTTTTTTTTTTTTTAGTTGCCTTTTTGTTGTTGGTTTTTAATTTAATTACATTGTGAGCAGAAAATGTGGTCTTTATGTTACTGAATATTGGGTATCTGTTTTGTTTTTAACGTGGCATATCCTGCTAGTTGCCTGTCAAAATTGCCCCTTGTTCCTTAAAAAACAACTTAGGTTTCTCTTGTTCAGTTTGGTACGATGCGCTCTTGAAAAACCCCGTACCTCCCAGCCTGCTCCTTGCAGCTAGGGGACGCCACGGCCCTCCCCCCAGTCCTGGCCATTCTAAGTATGAGAAGTCATTGGGTGTGATTCCGGGGAAGGATGTTGCAAAGGAACATTTAGCCAGATCCCTCCACTTCTTGGCCTTTGTACAAACAGACATGATGCCCAGTGCTCGAGAAGCCATCCCACGGCCATGAGGGTAAAGGCTGCAGCTGAAGAGAGTGTAGCCAGACCTCACGACCATCCCGGCTCCCCAGCTGGTATCTTTGTGTGGCTGCCCCGGACTGTTTGTTTCTGGATATCTTGTTACGTGGAAAAGGTGTACTTCTTACTGGCACAGGACATTGCTGTTTTGGGGAGGGGGCCGGGGAGGGGAGGGATGGGTTTATTACGGCCGAATGCTGTATCCAGCTGGTGCACTTAGTGTGTGGTCAGTTGTCACAAATGCTTCCTGTGTCGTTGAAGCCAATGTATTGTATTCTGCATATAGAATACAATCCGCTAGATCATATTATTTGTGTTTCAAAATCTTCTCCACATTTATAGGTATTGGTCTCTATCTTCGTCTGTTCGGGCCGCATAACAAAAATACCATAGACTGGATGGCTTATAAACAGCAGAACTTTCTTCTCAGAGTTCTGGAGGCTGGAGTCTGAGATCGGGATGCTGGCAGATTTGATGTCTGGTGAGGCCTGCTTCGTGGTTAAAACCCCCGGGGTTTTAACCGTTCCAGGTCTGGACGGGGACAGGAGCAATCCTTTTCATTTGATTTGCGATCTCTTGCATCATTTTTTTTTTTTTTTCTCATTATCTATTTGTAGGCAGCAGTTGCTTAGGTTAAACTTTTTACAGACTTTTCTCTCAGAAGCAAGCAGGTAATCTGAGGCCACGCGATTCTGATAATGGCATTGCACATTTTGGTTTGCTGCTTGCCTAGTAAGTTAAGAGCTCTGGCAGCTTCACTGGTTATAATTTTTATAACTGCTTGTAGTCCGATTCTGCGGTTTAGCATGTAAATGGGAGCACGGTGGCCCCAGGACCCGTCCTCTGTCCAGGTGGCAGGGCCATCATATTGGATTTATGCTCGGGGGGCCATTCCTCATCTTTTTAGTTGCCAATTGGTAAGGCACACCGCTTTCTTTGAGTGTCCCTGTCCCCATACACTCGGACTCCCAAATGTTTCCTTCTGGCAAGTGGGAGCACGAAGAAAGATGGATGAAGAGTTCCCAGCGTATATGACCCTGACCAGACTGAGGGAAGTACTGTATAGGCTGTCCTTCCACGTATCCAGGCTAGTCCACCTGGGACCCGCCATTTGACGGCTATGTTGACCTTGTCCCAGGCCTCTCGGAGATGAGAGAAGTTAGACAAGGGGTGGGGATCTGGCTCAAGGTGATCTGGGGTCCCCCACCATTGGGTTTTCCGGGCAGTTGAGTTATAAACTCTTTGGCTTATGCATGTTAAGTTTTTAACAGAGACGACAATGAACTTTTTCCTCACCAGGCAGGACAGTTTTTCCCAATAATTGAGCTTCTGAGAAGCCAAACCCTGGTCGTAGGACTGGGGTATTTTGTTGTACTATAAGGTTTGTGGGGATCTAATTTTCTAGTCTCTCATGGCCATTGTTTCCCCGTGTTGGTACCAACGAAGTATCCGATCCACAAAGGGAGGGTGAGTGTTCACAGAAACCTCTCACCACGTTTCCGGCTGGCCGGGGTGGCCTCGGCCAGTCCTATGGCAAAGAGTAGAGCAAGAATCATGATAATAGTGAGAAATGAGCCATGACAGTGCATCACAGCAAGAAAACATACAGAAAATAACGATGGTCTTTTGTTTCTCCAGACTGCCGATTCCTCAAGCTTCTGCCATGTGTAGGTCAGTCAGCTTCTGGAGTGACTAAAGCAGGGCTGCAGTCTTCTGGAGACTCCGGAGTCCAGAATCTTCTGTATGGTCAGTCTGCACAGCGTTGATGGGTCACAAATGCACTCCCAGTTTTGAGATGCCGGCTTCACTCTGCTGTAGTGAATCCAGGGACCCACGTTGGCCACCTTTACTGCGGTAGGGGTGGACAAAATGACAGTGAACGGGCCCCTCCCGAGGGGTTTTAGCGGTTGGACATTTCACTCCTTTATCCATATTGCCTCTCCTGGTTTAAAGGGATGAGCGTCTGTGGTCAGATTCAGATAATCGCTCCCTGACCCAGGGGTGTAAGGTGGTTAGGGTAGAGCCAAGGGCTCGCATCTGTTGTCTCAGGGCTAGTTGGTCTATCTCATTTAGATCCCTCCCCCTATGCCCTTGATAATGGGGGAGAGGCGCCCATAAAGGATTTCATAAGGGGAGAACCCCGTCTGCTTCTTTAGCCTCCCACCTGCATCTGCCGTCTGCCTCCCTGAAGGTCCCTTCTCTCTCCCTGCCTGATGTTAACCCTTTCCCTATTTATTTCTCCGCTGGAACAGGGCCTGGAACCGCTGTTAGGGAACAGGGACAACGACTGTCCCGGCTTCTTCAGGCTGATAAGGGACGGTGTGGGGGTACAGCAGTTGGGAGTCTACCCAAGGGGTCGGTCGAGTGGCCCATAGTATGGTTCTGCAGGAAGGCTGGCAGGCATTAGCAGACACAGAGAAAAACACAAAGTAAAAATTACACTGACCAACAAGATGGCATCGTAAGAGCATGTCTGTGGTTTCCAAACCTGTCAAACAACCTTTGTAAACAACACATGTCAGGGAATCTCTCATGACCCAGGTGATGGAGAAGCAGGAGCGGTAAGTAATCAATGGTGGCTCTATTTCCAAGAGTTTGGCCTTAACTGAATTACGAAAAATTTTTAAAGCATCTAATGCTTGTGAAGTGTTATCTAGAGTTTTGCTGAGTATAAGCGGACAGTCTCCTTTATTTTGAGGTGTAAAACTTTTCCACGAGCCAGGACTGCTATCAGAGAAAGAGTCAAGGCAGCTATTGACCATTATTAATTTGAAAAATTTTTAGGTAAGCCGAACCTGGTATTATTTGATAAAGCAGAACTTTTTATTACTTTCTGTGCCTTTTTTTGTCTGGCAGGAGAAGGCCTTTACTCAATTAGTAAAAGTATCACTCCATACCAACAGATGCTAGAATTCCTTCGACCTTGGTATATGAGTGAACCTAATTGTCAGTCTTTTCTGGACAGTCTCCAGTTTCTTGATTGCCTGGGAGAGCAAGTTTGTGGCTGAAAGGATTGTTTCTAAGACATACTTCACAGGCTGATCCTGCTTGCAGAACTGTCCTTGACAAATTTTTTTTCCAGTAAACATCCTTTGGGCCATTTGAGAAGTTTTGTCCCTCCCAAAATGAAAGGCCTGATGCTGTGTTTTAATGCTGTCTTACCTCTGAGAGCTTGGTAAGAGTAATTGCCCTGCTCTGTTTGTAACCATTCCAAGGGCTGGAGACAATGTCTAGGAGTCAGACCCCAGTTCATTAACTTTTTGGGGGAGAGTAGGTCGGCTTGAGTCTCCTTTAATAATTGATATAGCAGCAAACTATTTTCCTGAACCCTTGTATCTACAGCCTACAATATCCAGTAATTTTCCAAAACTCATACAATTCTTTACCTGTCCTGGAGTTAGTAGCACCATAATCTCTAATTTAGTTATAATGTCCCTTTCTAGGAAGGGAGTAAGGCTCTCTGGCATTATCAGGAAAGAATGAGAAAAAATTAGGTTTCCCCATAGACATCCCAGGGGCTGAGGGAAACATTTAGTTAGAAGTTTTCTGGAGATGGCCCTAATCGTCCTGCTGCATTTGGATAGTTGGCCTGGAGTGGAAAGGAGGACAGAGAAGGTCGCCCTGGTGTCGAGAAGGAAACCAACCAGTTTTCCTTCCCTTCTATATTTAGGGTTACTCGAGGTTCTGGGTTTCTGATAGACAGTTGGGTCGGGGGGGGGGGCACCGTGAAGAGCCCCAGGCCCAGGTTAATCCCTTCCAGGGACATTGTTATCTGAGCCCTCACAGATAGAGGTCCCCCAGGGTATTCAGATCTTCAGTGATTGGCTCCACATAAGGGGCATGGCTTATGGG